ACCTCTGCACCATGCCTCATGGTTGCATATCCAACCACCCAGAGCAACCATGTGTTAGAACCTCATGGATGCCCCACTGTGTGTGCTGGGCATCACTGTCTGTAGCTGGTGGTACAGTCACTGCAGCAGGAGTTGGATCACATGGGGTGAGACCATGGGCTTCCCCAGGTGCAGCAGAACATGGGACCTGGCTCGTGCCAGCCCACCTGAGCCATCCCTCAGCCCATCTGTCTCGGGATCTGTCCCCTGTGGGGACCTGTGCCAGTGGGCAATAGCTCTGCAGCATAGGGACAATCCACCTGAACTCTCCTGGGTCAGGAGTGAGTTGCACTTAAATTGCCAATTACTGCCCGTTGACACCTCTGTGCTGGGTCTGAGCCCCACAGAGAATTAACAGTTTTTGTTCCCAAGTTTGTGAAGGGGCAAATATAGCTCCTGTCTCCAGGCTCTGCAGTGACACAACAAGCCCTTTAGAGCCTTTCAGAAGTTGAGGCTGCAGAAGTTCAGAAACTTTTAATGACATCAACTGAGACCTGACTGTTGCTGGGGCAACAAGGTGCCCTTTGGGCCATAACTTCATGAGACACTGGCACTGGGGACACAACAGGCTTTGGGCATTCCTACTTCCTCCAGAGATTCTGTTGAAGGCGTGTGGCTATTTTCAGCTTGGATCACAACAGGATGTGGTTTAATGCTTTGGCTCTATGACTGGCTGACCCAACACAGCCAATGGGATATGTCTGCTGGCCTGAAGGTATGAAACAACATGGCTGGGGACTTCCCAAGCTGTCAGTGCAAGCATCTCCTGATGCATGAAGATGTGTCAGTCCTACAGTGCCCAGAATCAGCGACAACGTGCCCCTTGGGGACTGCAAAGCTCTGGGTTGTGCTGGCAGACAGGGCTGCCATTCAGAGAGGCGTCGGTGGCTCACAGAAACAGGGAAGCACAAACCCCTGATGTTCAGCCAAGGCTGCTGCAAATTCTTGCCCCTGGGGAGGTTAACCCCATGCCGCAGCCAGGTGGGCAACAAGCTGTGCTGCAGGCAGCAAGCAACAAGAGCAGCCTGGTCTGGGTTAATGAAGGGCATCAAGGAGCACTTGTGGAAGTGCCACTGCAGGGAAGGGCCTACTCTGGGGCTCCACAGTGCAGGAAATGCCCTAATGCAGCAAGGATGGGGGGGAGGGATGGAGAGGGGGGCATTAAGCTGGTCAGGGCCTGCAGTACAGCACGTCTGATGAGAGGCTGAGAGCTGGGCTGGGTTGGCCTTCAGAAGAGAAGAGGAGACGTCTGACTGCTATCTCCAGTGCCCGAAGGGAGGACAAGGAGAAGGTGCAGGCAGGCCTGGGGGTACGGCACGGCAAGGCAAAGGACAACAGACACAAGCTGTAGTGTGGAAAATAGTTAGACAAAAGAAAATCGTTCTTTGTGATGAAGATGATTCCACACTGGAGCAGGTCTCCAAAAGTGTGATAGGGTCCCTATCCTTAAAGGTGCCCAAACTGAGCAGACAAGTCCTGGCAGAGCCTGGTCGGACAGGATCAGAGGCCCTGAGGACCTTCCAGCAGAATCCCAGGCCATGAAATGACACTAATAACTAAGGATCCAGCCAGACACCACTAGCGTAGCACCTAACACTTAGAGATTATTTGTTAATTACTGGCTATCCGATAAGTAATTAGGCTTGTGATCAAGACCAGAGAAAAGGCCCTCACACCTTGCTCCCTGCCCCTCAGCCTTCCCAGGCGCCTGCAGGCAGAGCAGGGGAGGACAAAGCAGCCTCATGGGGAGGCAGAGGGAGGGAGACTTCCAGCTCCAAAATACACTTGTGTGGGGGGAAATGGAGGGTGTGCTCGCAGTAGGAAGAAGGGCTGAGTCCAAAGGAGCTCAGGGAGGGAGTCTCCTGTTTCTGCCCAGCTGCACCATCACTTCCTCCACAGAGATGGGAATGCTCTCAGGCCCCATTCTGGCCCCTGCAGACTGGTGTGGGGAAAGCCTTCTTCCCAGAGTCCCTAACTGCTTAGAGGTGAGAGGTTTCTGAGCAGCTTCTGGAAGCAGAGAACCAGTGCACCTTGCACTTGCTGGAGCCGCATAAGTCACTCTTCAATCCAGACCAGTTGTCTAGAAGAAACCAAGGTTATAAAAAAAAAGCTATTCTTGGTCGCAAAAATAAGGAAAACAAGCTGGAAAAGGAGAGTGCAGACAGAAAAGCCTGACTCTGACATATTCCTGGACTCGGGCTCTTTCTCATGGGTGTCTCTGAGACAATAGAGCTGCAGAGCCTGCAGCACTACCCCAGTCCCACAGTGGGATCAGCACGGAGTGTCTGCAGCTGTCAAGATGCTCAGGAAGCTTCAGAGCAGCCCCAGTTCCAGCCTCTGGAGGGCTGACACAGCATCCTCAGGACTCTGTTGCCTTTACTCGCTGTGTGCTCCCACAGCATCCCAAACCACTCTGCCTAAGTGGCTGTGCCTGAGCAATTATGTGCTCTGCTGTAACAGGGGATCTTTTCTCACATGCCTCTGAGGGGTATATCAAATTCACCTTGCTGTCCCAAACTTCTGGTGCTGCCAGATACACCTAGCGTGAAGAGAGGAAGCATCATCCCCAGGTAAGCTGTGCAGGCACTGGGTCATCTCTGGATGTGTTTAAAAACCGCCTGTATGTGGTGCTCGGGGTCCTGATTTAGCGGAGGGTTGTTAGGGTAGTTTGGTTAGGTTGCGGTTGGACTTGATGATCTTTAAGGTCTTTTCCAACCTGAGCTATTCTGTGATTCTATGATGCTATGATCAGGAGTCCCCAGACGACAAGCAGGGCAAGTGCTCAATAACAGGACAGCCATAGGGTCAAGGAGGGAAGGAGTTTGCCCCACATGGTTCTGCAAGAACTGGCAGATATGTATCTTCGTGATGCTACTTGGCAGCTTGTTGAGTACCCAGTGGCCTGGGACACGTCCCAAAGTTCACCCATCCGTAGCTTGCCTGCATGTAGCACCAGAGGAACCCTGCCCTGTCTGCAAACACTGCTCTGAGCGGAACAGACATGTTGCTTGCTTGTGTGTTGCTGCATTTGCCACCTGCTCCCAGCCTTGCCATGATGTGGCTCTGCAAACCTAGTGAGACCATGGTGTAGGCATGTGCTTCGCAAAGAGGAGTGCTGATCTGCTGCTCCCCACTCTATCTTGAGCTCGCCTGTCTCATATTAGGTTTGATAGCAAATCAAAATCAATTTAATTAGCAGAAAGGCAAACAGACACTTCCAATGACTGCAGATTTAATTGCAAACCTGTATAGTTATTAGAAAATGAAACAAAGGTGCCACTTGTATACCATTCGCTCAACACATTTGACATTTCCTCCTTCCCTCTCAGGGCTGGCAGGGGGCACATGCAATCAGCTCTGGCTCAGCCCTCGTGCTGCCAGCACCCCCACCGAAGCAACTGGTTCATGGGGAGACTGCAGTCTGGGTATGTCCCCAGGGAGGCAGAGAGTCATGGACTGCAGGGAGGGACTGGAGTGGGTGCTAGGTTTGTCTGTGTGCTGTCTTCCAGGGGAACCAGGCATGTGGTTTTCCACTTCCACATTATTAAACTGACACAAAAGGCTCTGTGGACACCTACTTACAATTAGAGCAGTTTTATTTTAAGTAACGGGAAAAGTTCTAAGTGGTCACAGATTTAGGAATCACATCCCCTCTTGCCTTTACCCTGGTTCCTTGTCCAAGCCTTGGTGCATTAGAACTGAGGTGATTCCAGGGTTCAAGCCATTTCTGAAACTGAGTTTAAGCTGCTAGCTGACACAGGTTTGTCTGTGCCAAGTTCAACCACAGCAGTGTGCTCTGGCATAGGGCTCTGCTCCTCATGCAGCAGCCTTCTCCAGCCTCCTCCCTGTTGCGCTCTGCTTCTCCAGGATGACTATGTAATGCCATGCCCCCTGCAATGGACTCTCCCTTTGCCAGGCTCAGTGCCACAGCAAAGCAGCTCCCTCCTGCTCCAGTGGGTCCTTGCTCCCTGTGCACCACCCAGCAAGATCTCACTAATATACTTTGGTTGGTATTTTCCCACACAGATTACAAACTATTCCTGCTGTTGCCAAGGACAGTTTGGCTTCTCTGCCACACTCACAACTTGTCATTACCCTAGGCTGGCTGGACTGCTGGGTATCCAGCAGAGGTCCCTGTAAGCACACTTCTCCTGTACAGCCATTCCCATTAGCACCCCCAGCAATTGGTTTCCTATTTGCCAATCCTATGTGGCCATATCACAGCCCTTGGTGTTTTGCTCTAGAATGATGTTGCTGGGGCCAGCCTCTCCCTCAGGTCACCTAGGAGCCTTTGTGATGCTCCCTGCTCTTTCACCCCTGCTCCTCCCTGAGTTAACCAAGGTTGGAATGTTGTTTTCTGAGATCTAGGCAACTGATAGCTGTGTCATTCCCACTGTTGAAAAAGTAAAAGCTAGTGTCTTACAAAGGCTGGACAGCAAGTTTTTCCAGCACAATCTCCCTTTGGAAGCCTGGATTTATGTTTTATCATAACTTCCACTTTTCCTCTAAAGCCCTTCAAAAGCTCTACTTTTGAACTTTCATTCCCTCATCAGACGTAGATACTTCACAAAGATACTTTGCATCTTTTCTGAAGGTGAAACAACATTGATTCCTCCTGAGTTCAGTTGCACATGTTCCCCTCCTGCAGCCCCCTGATGTGCAGCAGATCTGAAGACTTTCCTCCCTGTGTGATGCTGCTGCCCCCAAGCCTTCAGGTTGTCCTGGTCACCCTACCTTTGCCATAAATTGTCACTGTTCTTCTGGGAAACTGTGACTGGGTGTGTTCTGACCTGAGCTGAGAAGCACCCCATGGGTGCCTGTACTTCAACTACATGACTGAAAAGTGTATATTAATCTCTTAAGACTGCACACAGTTTTTTTTTTCATTATCTCCCTGTACTCTTTCATCTTTCAATAGAGACTTTTCTCAAAGCTTTTTCTTTTCTTTCCTTGCAGGCATTCCACTTGTTGCAAACACTGTCCTCAGTGTACATATGCTGCTTGCTTGCTTGAATCACAGAATGGTTGAAGTTGGAAGGAACCTCTGAAGGTCATCTTGTCCAACAGCTCTGCTCTGCCAGCTTCTCCCTCAAGCTTAGGAGGGAGTTTTAGAACAGGTTTCATCTTTGGCTTCACAAAGCATCATTCATTTTCTATGTTTGCGTGCTTGAATTCCCAAATCTGTCCAGCTGCAATAACTTGCTTTCCTGACTTGTGCATGATCACAGATACAGCCACCATTCTACTCTTATTGATCTTCCCATTTACACAAAATTACATTGACTCATGCTTATTCTAGCTGAAGTTATTTTCTACAAATAGCTTTTCTATAAGCAGCCTGTTTTTCAGGAGCAAGAACAAAAACTCTATCAGCTCGCTTCATGCTGTGACCTGGTAAAAACGTGTGAGATGACACATCCAATGGTATTTGGAATGCCTCTAATAGACCAGGCAGCCTCCCCCCTATAGGAGTTACTCTTCCTGGCAGAATTTCTCTCCTTAGGCTTTGTCCTTGTTGCAGTCTGGCTGAGGGGTCTGAGCAGATTTTCTTTCCCCGCCTTCCCAAGATGATTTTGGACCCAGGAAGTCTTAGATCCAGTGTCTTTCAAGGTGTTGTGCTATGCTCCCCCTCCCCATCTCTCTTTCTTGCACACTCCTCCTAGAATTAGATGATCTTTGAGGTTCCTTCCAACTCCAGCCATTCTATGATTCTGTGATTCTCCACTGTCTGCTCTGGTTACAGCAGCTATTTCTCTGACCTCCAGTAATATCTGCCGTTATGGGACACTTCATGTAGAAGTTGGCTTTGCCTGAAGCCACAACCATTTATGTTATTTCCTATGGACCATCTGCTCTTCCTGAGCCAGAGATGAGCCTTTTGTTTAGCTGTGCTGTTTTCCCAGCTGCTATTATCTCTACAGGTTCTTCCCTTTCCTCTGTTTCCCTATGTGGTCATGCCCTTGTTTACCAGCACATACCATATTGAGCATGGGGAGTGTACGCCTCTCCTTCAGCCTCCAGTCCCTTTGTGGTTTAAAGCCTGGTGTGTCACTTCTCCCACACTGGATCTTGAAAAGTTTCTCCTCTCCTGCCAGAATGCCTCCATGTGTTCTTGGAGGTTCCCAGCTCTGCAAGCACCACAGACTTGCTCATGAGACCAAACCACAGGCTGTCAGCTTGTCCCTTCCTCCCCAGTTATGCACCTACCTCATTTTTTGGGCACCAGGACAAATGTACAGCCCAGCCCTGAATTCCCACATAGTTGATCACATCCCCTACATGGTGGGCACTGCTTCTGTTTTCCCTTGTTTAACAGTTCCTGGGATCCTTACTGACCACAGTGTGAGATCCCTGCTTTCCGGTGTTTCCTGGGCAATGCAGAGTTTTGCCTCGTTTAACAGCAGGTCCTGTCTTAGTCAGAAGGTGACATGGGAAGGTGGCTTTCCTGACTTTTCTGCTGGCTTGCATGGCTTTGCCATGAGTTCTTCAAGCCATTGCCTGAAGAGCTGGAGCCGTTTTGGCCAGGTCTGTCTGTTTTCTACCCAAGCCTGCTGGCAACCCTTGGGGTAAGTGGCCAGAGAGCAGCCCCTGTGTCAGCTGAAAAAGCTATGGGGCAGTGGGAACATGGATGGGAATGCATGTGTGGCATGTGTGGCGTCCTGTGGTGTTGACATGAAGATTGAAACCCCATGGGCTGTGGGCACCTGCCCACAGACTTCTCCCATCTCAGAGCCCTTTGAGTCAGTTGTGAGATTAAAGAGTGCCAGAGATTGTGGCACAGCTTCAGCCCATGACACAGAAGAACTGAGGGCTGGAGATGTCCCATGGCAGAGCTAAGCTTCCACCTCCTTCTGCCTGTCCTGTATCTCTTCTTGCTCTCCCCGCAGATGAACCCTGAGTCCATGCAGGGGGGAAATCTCAGCAGCCCCACCTCATTTCTTCTCTTGGGGTTTTCCACTGCCTACAAAGCACAGGTGTCCCTCTGCATGGGTTTCTCACTCATTTACCTGGTGACTGTGCTGGGGAACCTGCTCGTAATGACCCTGGTCTGGCTGGACACTCACCTGCAGTCCCCCATGTACTACTTCCTGGGGCACCTCTCCTTCCTGGACATCTGCTACTCCTCCGTCACGCTGCCTAAGATCCTCAGAGACTCCCTCTCACCACAGAAGACCATTTCCTTGGTGGGCTGCATCACACAGATCTACTTCTTCCTTTGCTTTGGGGGCTGTGAGTGTGTGCTCCTGGCTGCCATGGCCTACGATAGATACCTGGCCATCTGCCACCCCCTCCACTACACAGCACTCATGAGCAAGAAGATCTGCCACTGCCTAGTGGCTGTCTCATGGTTGAGTGGCTCCTTCTCATCTCTGATCCAGGCCCTCCTCACAGCCCACTTACACTTCTGTGGGTCCAATGTGATCAACCATTTGTTTTGTGAGATCCCCTTCTTGCTGGAAGTGTCCTGTAGCCCTAATGCTCTTCTCAACAAGGCTGTCTCATATGCTTTGGCTGCGACTGTTGCCATGGTCTCTTTCCTCCTTACTCTTGCATCATATGTTCACATCCTCCGGGCTGTGCTGCAGAAGGGAGCAGGGAGGCAGAAGGCCTTTGCCACCTGCACCTCCCACCTGGCCGTGGTGTCCCTGTTCTTTGGCGCTGGGGCTGTTACATACCTGGTGCCTCAATCCAGCAGCTCCAAGGAGATAGACAAGGTCCTCGCCCTGATGTACGCCATTGTAACCCCCATGCTGAACCCCATCATCTACAGCTTAAGAAACAGCGAGTTCCAATGGGCCATCAGGAAAGCCCTGTGCAGGGGTATCACTGAGATCCCCACGGGCAGAACAACTTCTGCCCTCACCACGCTGCAGGTGACCCAGCATGATGGGGGGAGCTGGGACCCTCAGACCAGTAACAGGCAGAAGGGTGAACTCTAAGGATGTGAGCAGACCAGGAGCAGATCCATAAAACTGCTATGCCTTGGCCACAGGTTTCCCAATAAATAATTCTGGGAGCTGTTTTCTTAAGAAATAGGTATTGTCCAGGTAAAGAAGTTGTACTGAATGTCCACTGTGCCTTTGTTGTGACAGTGCCCTTGGTAAGACTTGTTTTTTTTATTAATCACTTATCTGCAGTGGGGCTTTGTCAGGCTTTCTGGAAGGAGCTTTTATTCCTAAGCAAAGCTCTTTCTGAGGTGAAACAATGTGAAGTGCAGCAGTAATGCTGTGCTGTAAGCATATCCTGCTAAGTGGTGGATAATCTTGTCTGGGCTGGACTTGCAGACACTGCAGAGCCGGATGCCTTTCTCTTAATGCAATAAAATATGGATAAGTAGGAAAACCATTGTCATGGGATTGATCTTTGTAGTTTCAGGAATCAAAGCCAACCCTGGGAACAGACATCTGCTTCTGCATGCAGAATGGTGGTGACAAGGTGGGAGTGTAGGTGGCACCTGAGCATGCCTGGGGAGAGCAGATTATTCTGGCTCATGCTGTGCTTTCAGAAAGAGCGCACAGGGCTTTTGGCATCATACGGAGCTGGGAAGACATTGTTTGGGGGCCACAGATAAAAAGGAAGTGAAAAGACACTGCAACTGCATCTCATGTACAAGAAAATACGCCTACAGGCACAGTGAAACACATCCTTCTTGGACCTCAGCCGAATGCTGAGCTGTGGTGTCTTTGCAAGCAAGACTCTGAGAGGCTCCTATTCAGCAGAAACTGTGGGAACTGGTTTTCTGTGATTAGAGACAGCTCCTCCTCTGGTGGAAAGAAGTGTTTCCCAGTAGGAACTTAGCATGACTTATCCAGCTGCAGTGAGGCTGCCGCACATGCTCCCATAGCACACCATTAAAACAGAGCCAATTCGGGAACCTGGTTTGCAGGATAGCTACAAAATCGTCTGCTCCTTTGTCAATATGACAGGAATGGACAAACTGAGCTTAATATAAAGAAGAGCAGAGTCAGTAGAGATAAAAGAAACATTTCTCTTTTACAAGATTTACCTGCTTTCTCTATAACAGTGGTCTTAAATGTTTGGTGCGTGCACCCCAGTGGGTATGCAAGACTGTCCACTGGAGAGTGGGAAGAAAATATTTTTTGTACCATCAATAAATAAAATATTTTAATACCATTTTAAAACATCACTTTTATCTCATCCTTTTACAGTTTCTATTTTTAATATGTTTTATAATACGCAGTAGCAGTACATGTATGTAATTTATTATCTTGGTTTCAGCTAGGATTAAATTGTTTTATTGGTGTTTTGTATGATGTGATTTATCCTGCCAGGATTTACCCTCCAGGACCACAACAGCCCATTTGGTGCCCAGTGTGGGGCTCAAGGGTTGAGATAACAGCAGACCTGACGTGTTAACACAGGCTGTTGTGGTACTTTGATAATTGCTGGTCACAATGTTGATTTTTTCCCTATTTATGTACTCTAATACCATCAAGTTATACAGGGGTAAAACCCATTGGTATTTCTGGAGTGACAGGGGGATCCAAGAGCTAACTGTACTGGAGGCCAAAGTGAGCCTAACTAGAAATGAATGGCAGAAGCATCCTGTTCTGATTGGCCCAGAGGCTTCGCACATCCTTGGTATGGATTATCTCAGGGGAGAGTATTTTAAGGACCCAAAATGGTACTGGTGGGCTTTTGGACTGTCTTGGAAATGGAGGACATTAAGCAGCTGTCTGCCTTCCCTGGTCTCTCAGAAGACCCTTCTGTTGTGGGGTTGCTAAGAGCAGAAGATCAGCAGATGCCAATTGCTACAACAGCAGTGCACCAGTGGCCATACTGCACCATCTGAGAACCTCTAATTCCCATTAATCAGTTGATTCAACCACTGGAGAACCAAAGAGTAATCAGCAAGACTCGCTCACCCTTCAGTAGTCCCACATGGCCAGTGAGAAAGTCCAGTGGAGTGTGGAGACTGACAGTGAGCTATTCTGCCCTAAATGAAGTCACACCACTGCTAAGTGCTGCTGTGCCAGACATGCTAGAACTCCAGTATGAACTAGAGTCAAAGGCAGCCAAGTGGTATGCCACAACTGACATAGCTAGTGTGTTTTTCTCAATCCCTTTGGCAGCAGAGTGCAGGCCACAGTTGTACACCTGGAATCAACTGCTCTAGACATGGAAACACAGCTTCCCCATTTGAGCACTGGAGCAGCTGCCCAGGGAGGTGGTGGAGTCTCCTTCTCTGGAGATATTCAAGACCCTGGACGCCTACCTGTGCGACCTGGTGTAGGGTTGGACTCAATGATCTCTGGAGGTCCCTTCCAAGCCCTGCGATTCTGTGATTCTGTGATTTGTCATGAGCTGATCCAGACTGCACTGGAACAGGGGGAAGATCCTGAACACCTGCAGTACACTGACAAAATCATTGTGTGGGGCAACACAGCAGCAGCAGTTCTTCCCTTCAGAAGGGGAAGAAAATAATTCAAATCCTTCTAAAAGCTGGTTTTGCTGTCAAGCAAAGTAAGGTCAAGTGTCCAGTTCTGGGCCCCTCACTGCAAGAAAGACATCGAGGCCCTGGAGCATGTTCAAAGAAGGGCAACAAAGCTGTGAGGGGTCTGGAGCACAGGCCTGATGAGCAGCGGCTGAAGGAGCTGGGATTGTTCAGTCTGGAGAAGAGGAGGCTCAGGGGAGACCTTATTGCTCTCTATAACTACCTGAAGGGAGGTTGTGGTGAGCTGGGGGTCGGCCTCTTCTCTCGTGTAACTGGTGATAGGACTAGAGGGAATGGCTTCAAGCTGCGCCAGGGGAGATTCAGGCTGGACGTTAGGAAATACTGCTTTTCTGAAGAGTGGTCAGGCACTGGAATGGGCTGCCCAGGGAGGTGGTGGAGTCACTGACCCTGGAGGTGTTGAAGGATGTTTGGATGTTGTGATGAGGGATATGGTTTAGTGAGAACTATTGGTGATAGGTGGATGGTTGGACTGGGTGATCCTGTGGGTCTTTTCCAGCATTGGTGATTCTATGATTCTATGATCCAGTTCTTTGAGATAAAATGGCAAGATGGACATTGTCAGATCCTCATGGGCGTGATAAATAAGACAACTGCTATTTCTCCACCAGCTAGCAAAAAGGAAACACAAGCTTTCTTAAGTGTTGTAGGTTTCTGGACAATGCATATTCTGGATTACATTCTGATTGGAAATCCTTTCTATCAGGAGACTCAGAAGAATGATTTCATGTCGGGTCCTGAGCAACAACAGCCTTTGAATAAGTTAAACAGGAGGTAGTTCAGGCAGTAGGCCCTTGCCCAGTCCAGACAGGACAAGGTATAAAAAACTGCAACCAGGGAGAATGGCCCCACTTAGAGCCTCTGGTAGAAAGCCCCAGGGGAGACTTGAGGACGACCTCTAGGATTTTGGAGTTGAGAACACAGAGGATGTGAAGCCCACTACACTCCAGCTGAAGAAGAAATATTGGCAGCATATGAAGCGGTCCAAGCTGCTTTGGAAGTGGTTGGTACTGAAGCACAGCTCCTCTTGGCACTTCAACTGCCTTTGCTGAGCTGGATGTTCAAAGGGATGGTTCCCTCCACACAGTGAGTTGCACTGATCACACAGTGGGCTCGAATAGGGAACTCCAGTCATCTAGGAATCCTAGAGGTGATTATGGACTGACCCAAAGGCAAAGGTTTTGGAATACTGCCAGAAGAGGAGGTGACATGCGCAGAAGAGGTTCCACTATATAATAAACTGAGAAAATGAGAAACAGTATGCCCTGCTCATTGATGGGTCCTGTCGCATTGTGGGAAAGCATCACAGATGGAAGGCTGTATGGAATCCCACGTAATGAGTTGCAGAAGCTACTGAAGGAAGGGGTGAATCGAGCCAATCTGCAGAAGCAAAAGGCATCCAACTGGCCTTAGTCATTACTGAATGAGAAAAGTGGCAGTGCTCTATCTCTGTGCTGACTCATGGGTGTTGGAAACTACCCTATGGGGGTGGTTACAGCAATGGAAGCTGGCAGCACCGAGGCAAAGCTGCCTGGGCTGCTGTACTGTGGAAAGATATTGCTGCCTGAGTAGAGAACACGGTTGTAAAGGTATGTCATGTAGATGCTCACATACAAGAGTCGTTCCACTGAAGAACATCAAAACAACCAGCAGGTGGATCCGGCTGCTAGGATTGAAGTGGCTCAAGTAGGTCTGGACTGGTAACGTGAGGGTGAGCTATTTCTAGCTTGGTAGTCCCAAGCTAGTGGTTCCTTGATCAGGCCACCAAAGAAGAGATGAGTCTACAGATGGGCTCGGGATCAAGGCACGGACTTTACTGTGGATGCTATTGCACAGGTTACCCATGAATGTGAAATGTGCTGTAATGAAACAAACCAAATGGATAAAATCTCTTTGGTATGGAGGATGAAAGCTGAAACATAAATATGGAGAGGCCTGACAGGTGGATTATATCACACTCCCACAAACTTGATATGGCAAACACCGTGTGCTTACAATGGTGGAAGAAACCACCAGATGTCGGAAACATTTCCCATGCGCCATGCCACCGCCCAAAACACTATGCTGGGTCTTCTTGTGGTGACATGGCACCCCAGAAAGAATTGAGTCAGGCAGTAGGACTTATTTCTGAAACAATCTCATAACACCTGGGCCAAACAGAATGGCATTGAGTGGGTGTGTCACATCCCCTATCACGCCCCTGGAAAAATGGAATAATACAATGGACTGTTAAAGACTGCACTGAGAGCAGGGCTCTCTCTGGGCTCTGTCAAAAGAGAGGTGGCCAGCAGGGACAGAGAGGTGATTGTTCCCCTCTACTCTGCTTTTGTGAGGCACCATCTGCAGTACTGCGTCCAAGTCTGGAGCCCCCAGTACAAGAAAGACAGGGAGCTGTTGGAGAGGGTCCAGAGGAGCCACAGAGATGACCAGGGGACTGGAGCAGCTCCCCTGTGAAGACAGGCTGAGGGAGATGGACTGTTCAGCATGGAGAAAAGAAGGCTGCGGGGTGAGCTCATTGCAGCCT